TGCTGATGGGTGTTAGGTATAGTGTCCCTGATTGGATCAGGGTGGGCAGCCCATGTGTATCCAAGATGAGGAAGAGGAGAAATGAAATGAATACACTTTTGTAACTCGCAGCCTAGAAATCTCATGGTCAAGGTCAGGGAGCTATGGGTTCAAGACCAGCAGGGTCTCTTCTGAGTCAGAGAGCTTTAAGTCCTTGTTTCTTTTGACCAAACTAAAGGGTCAGTGTCCTGGGAATACAGTTCCATGGCAGGGCACTTGCCTGGGACTTGGAAAATCCTGGGTTTGATACCGACTACCACAAAGACAATGCAGAGGAGCACAGTGGAGCATAGGTCATCTCAGCTTTCAGAGACTGAGGCAGAAGGGTCATCTCATGTTCCAGAACCAGCCCAAGCAACTTAGTGAGGCCCTCACCTCAAACTAAAAAAAAATAAGAGTGCTAGGGGAGGAGGGGTGTAGCTCAATAGAACTCTTGCTTAGCATATGTGAGGTCCTAGGTTCAGTTCCCAGTACTGCCTAAAATAAAGTAGAATAAATCAACAGTTTCAGCAGAACACTATCTAAATATAAAAAGGGCTATCTTAAAATAGTGACTGAGATAACCCAATTAAATTAGGTAGTGGAGTGAAGCCTCTTGTCATTCTCTTTGAAGAAATGCCAGAGTCTGGATTTTTATATTTTTTTACCTGTTGACTTCATTATCTTTTTTTGTTGTGTGTGTGCCTGCGAGTGTGAGTACAGGTGTACCATGTTGTCTGTGTGGTGATTACAGTATGACTTCTGGAGGCAGATTTTGGCTTTCCTCTTCTTTGCAACAGTGTCTCTTTATTTGACACTGCATCTGCCCTCTGGCCTCCAACCTTCCAAGGAGTCCTGTCTGCCTTCCATCTTGGCAGAGGGACACTGAGTTTACAGACTTCACTGCTACACTCTGCCTCCTGTGGGGCTTCCTGGGATTAGAACTCAGGTCCTCACACTTGTGCAACAGGTAGTTTATCCACTGAGCCGTCTCCCCAGACCTTAAGTTTTTTTTACATTTATTCAGTTTATGGATATGGGTTTGCTCACCCGTGTGTCCACATTTAAATGAAGGGGTCAAAGGGCAACTTTTAGAGTCAGTTCTCTCCTTCTACCATGTGGGTTCTGGGGATTAAGGTCAAATCACCAAGCTTGGCAGCATGCCTGCTTACCCACTGAGCCATCTTATTGGCCCGTTCTCTTAAAAGTTGGTTTGTTGAGAATTCCCCATGTGTACACAGTGCGTATAGATTGTCTCTGTCCATCCACCTCTTGCAAAACCTCCCTCACAGTCCCCTCCAGGCTTCTGTCCCTCACAGTCCCCTCCAGGCTTCTGCGTACTCTTTCCTTTTTTTAAAAAAATAAGTCACTAGTTCAATTAGTGCTGCCCCCGTGCACATAGTAGGACCT